TTTTTAATCATTTTGCATGAAGAAGAATTAACTAACGCAGCTCTTTAACATGTTTCGAGTGAGAATATCTAGCCATTTAGATTTAAAAGTGATAGGATCCTACATATCACAAGTAAGTCGACCCATCCGAGAAAGGCATTTTTAGGATAACACTGCATCATGACCTCTATAAAAATATAATCAATCCCATAATATATGATATAGCTCAACAAGATAATTGGGACAAACTCACTCAACATGTTACTTAAATATCAATCAACTCTAGGGCAGGTGAAAATTGCATATGGCTCGTAAATTGAAATCGTAGACATTCAAAAATTAAGGAGGATAAGAATAGGCTTGTTATGACTTTTAAGAAACCTTCATCACAAGATCATTGGGAAAATGAAACTTCTTCCTAAAAATGATCAAAGAGTCATAGATTATGATGGAGGTAACATCATCAGCCTTGTCCACCTTGTGAGATTTCTTTAGACTTTCATGTTGGGAAACAAGGTGATCTCTTTAGCCAAAGGAATTTTGGTGGAGGTGTTATCACCAATTTGAGCTTTAACACTAAAACGGGGCATTTAATTTGGATAAGGGAAGCCACCTATAGAAAATAATGAAAAGTCCCTAAAGTAAGAAGAAAAATCGAGAAGAGTGGGAGAGAGAGGAAGGTTAAAAGCTCTAATTTCTACATAAGAGAGAGACACTTGTACTTGATAGGGGATGCTACAAATTCAAGATAGTGGAAGGCCTCAACTGTAACAAAATTAGAGAAAAAAAGAGAGAAGGATAAGAGATGCGTGGGCAGGGGAGCTATAGAGAGCATGCACCTGTTGCTGGTGATGGCTATTAGACGAATGGTTCGACCCAATCCATTTTTTGGGCCGATTTTTTGCTTGGATAGGCACATCCAAAAAATTTTGGGTCATAGAAACTAATTTTCTATTTTAGACTCAATTTTGATACTTTTGAAGCTATTCGAGACCTCTATGTTGAAGCTGAAGTTATACTGGAGTTTCAAATCATGTCAAAAAATTTCCAAAAGTTGTCATATGTATTTTTAGACTTCTGGATATTCGATGTTCAAAAATCATGGGGCAATCAATATATTATCAAAAAATTACCTTACTTTGGAACAAATCTCAAGAAAAAATTGAGTTGAACATTTCTGAAATTAAATCTGGGACCATCCAAACCCTAATTTGAGTAAACTTATAGTTGAAATGAAGTCTCAAAAATACAATCCCAATGACACCAAATTTGACTCAATCTATGCCCAAATGGATCCCAATCGAAGACTTAAGCATATTTGGAAGGTTCAAATCCTAAATTGGATGACCAAACAATTTTTAAATGTGACATGCTTATAGTATAATCGAGCGGATGTACGAGATGAATCTAACAAGCTCAAAATCAACAAATTTTGATTTCATTAAGACATTACAATTCCCAGTAAATGGTCCATAATCAATAGGATCAATATTGACCGTCCATTCAAAAATCTTTTATCATACCCTTGATCTCCCTCCTAACAATTATAAATAGATTCATTATTCTTAATTGAAGGGAACCCAAGTAAGGAAGAGAAGGAACAGAAATAAACTAGAGTTTTCTTACCACAAGACCCCTCCTCGACCACCATCCCCGCGTCGACTGAAGCTAGACTTTCACCAAGCCACCAATTGTCGTCGAACTTCCGCTCGATCATATGTAGATCCTTCTTATTCTCTCTATATTTCTCCATCAAACCTCTCAATAAAAGTATGGCTTCCATAATAGACCTACCCTGTATGAATCCAAATTGATTTTAAAAAATTTATCAACAAAAAAATATTTAATATGTGCATCATCTAGAAAATGTCTAATAAGAAATAACATGAAGAAAAAAAATCTTACAATCGACAAAATCTGGAGGCAGTGGAAAATCGAGAGGCGGCGAAAACTCACGATTGAATTTTGGGAACCAGTCTCCTTTTGCCGGCGACGAAGGCCGTGATCGTCAGCGACGTCCCGTGAACATCTACAAAGCTTGGCGACGGAGATCTAGGGTGGGAGACAATGGGGCGATAAGAGAGAGACCAGAGATGCAAGAGAAAGAGCGGAATGAAATGAGCAGCCAGACGGGTCGTGTTTAGAAATAGGGCTTTCGCCGGCGGATTTTCTGGCTTCCCGGACGCCAAAACTTTTTTTGGCACATGTTTCGTTGGTTCCAAGTCGTTGAGTGTAAAATAGATAGCGTATTTTCTGCAGGTAAATGTGCCGGACATATTCCGCCGTAAACTCCACCGGTAATAATGAAAAGCTGCTAATTACCGATGTTACTATCGGCGCAATGGACTTTGGCAATTTTTCGTCGCAAACCGCGCCGGAATAAACGCCGTTAATATGCCGTCGCATTATGCACCGATACAAATGCTGTATTTACTGACGCAAAAAATTCCACTGGAACATCCGATGGTATTCGCATGTTTTCCTGTAGTGCATCACTCCATATGAGTTGATGCTAGTGCACTTTGTTCTGCCTCCCCCTGCTTCTCCCACATGAGTGGTGCATCCATCGACATCCTCACAGGCTTGCAACGGAGTTCCATAAAAGGCTCGCCATTCGTGGAGTCAGCAGCGGGATTCAAGAGGATATTCTACGCGAGAGATCCCGGGTTCTATAAAGATTTGAAGAGCCATGGTACCGCTAAGTTCCTACAAGTATTAGCAGAGTAGCGGGGACTTAAGAGCGACACCCATTTCTAGATCCAATAGATAGAGATCAGGTCTTAACATAGTGGCTCATATAACATCTTCGAGAACACATGCCACACCCGGCTCTTCTCTCATGATCGCTGAGCTGGCCTTCATAGCGTGAGCCATGAGGTCCGCTGCTTGTAAAGGCTGTTGCATAATCGTTCGTGGCAGCATGAAGTAGATTATTTCGAGACGAAGCTTCACGGTGTCAGGGACCACTATGACGATGGCGGGTAAGCGATTAGTTGATCCCAGTTTTTTGGCTGGTAAAGCTTCTTCAAAGTCTTTATGTGATGTTCTTTCTTGTGGTTCTTCCTCCACCCTCTTTCCATATCTCAAAATTGCTTCCTTCTGTGGTTTGCCGTAAATGTGGATTTTGGAAGCGGAAATTTTAGCGTTAGCGGCTCCATTTGAGTTTACTTTAGTTGGTAAATTCCCTTCGCGTAGACCATCGCTTGAGGCTATTCACAAATTTTTCTTTAACCTCAAGCTCAGTAGTGAATTTTCTATTACTATTCTGAATCCGAGACATGTTTTAATCAAACTCGTCAATGACCTAGACTACTGCCGTATTTTTTCTCACCGTCCTTACTTTGTTAATAAGTGTTACATGAAGATTTTCAAGTGGACACCATCCTTTAAAGTTGAAATCAAATCACCTATTATTCCCATTTGGATTTCTTTTCCAAACCTGCATCCCCATCTCTTTTCCCCGAGGATTTTGCATGGTTTAGGATCTATGTTTGGTTGGCTTCTTAAGATTGATCATGCTATGTCAGCTAGCTCTAGGCCTTCAGTAGTTCGTGTCCTGGTTAAGCTGGATGTTACTAAATCCTATCCTGATAAGGTGTGGGTAGGTCTGGAAACTTTATGGTATATACAACCGATTCCCCTGTTATTGCTCTCACTGTAATTCTTTGGGGCATTCCAAACCTGAATGTAATATTCGTCATCCCAACTTAGCTTAAACTCATAATGCGTTGACTAAGGCTGTTGATTATGTTTTGGATAATATTAATACTTCGGTTGAACTTGTTGATGGCCTTAACCATGTGACTCGTGTCGTGGAGCCTGAGATTGTGATGGATGCTCCAGCAGCTGTGGTCGTTTTGGTTCTTGCTCTGGAAGTTTCGGAGGAGATTCCTCTGCCTCGAGTGTGCCTAGATTAATACTAATGCTTGTGTGATAGAGGGTGTTAGTGCGTTTGATGGTGCTATTTCCCCTATTATTATTGAGAAGTTTCCTAGTAGCTGTGGTTCTGGTGAAATTTTGGTGAATATTGTTGTACTCCATTGTGGTATTAATCTGGTCGTGGATGATGGCTCCACTGATTTGGGTGGGCCAACAGTTGTTTCTCCTTTTAATGAGTCAATTGCACCTGTTGGGGTTCTTATGTCTACTCAATGTATTGATGTGCCAGTGTCTCTAATTTTCAATGTTGCTTTACAAGTTCATTTATGCAAGTCTAGAGATTGCTATGTAGACCCCTCTGATTGGTTAAATGTTTTGCCTATTAGGGATGGGAGTCAGGCGATTTTGCTAACTATTCCGAGGGTGTTCAGGAATCATATAAGGCGCAAGTGGATCCTCTCATGGAAAATGATTTTATCTTGGTTGGGAGAAATCATCGTCGCAAGAAATCCAAATAAGCTTTTTGGAGTTTCCTCGGTTTGGATGCTGTGGTTAATTGGTTGTCTAGCTCTTTGGATTTGCACCTGTTTTTTGTTAGATTGTTTTATGTGGACAAGAATTTTAATATGGGTAATGATGAGGCCGTGCTATCTATTCGTATGGCATGTTAACATCCATTACTAGCGGCTTCTTGCTGATCTTCATGCAGGATTTGATTTTGCTGGCCTCTTGCTAGCCCTTTGGAGGGCCCTTGTCTATTATTTGAGTGGTCGCAGTGTTTCGCCACTACCTGAGCTCGCTTCGTTGATTTTCCTTTTATTTTCTGGTCAGTTGCTATACTGTGTATTTTTTCTTTAGCTGTTGTTTGCTCCTGTTTCGTTGGATGGTTGTATCTTCTTTTTTTTGGAATAAAAATTCTTGTTAAAAAAAAATCATCACTCCATATGAGTTCTTAACATATGCAAAAATTTATATAAACAATAGTAAAAGAAAATCCTCAAGTGATGTAAGACTAACTTATATATTATATATTTTTAAATAGATAATTAATTATTTAATTTATAATATGAATAATATTTATTTTTTAGTTAATAATAATAAATTTTTTATTTATAAATTATAAAAAAAAATTTTATCCTTCTTGCGTGAACACAGCCTCCACTTGTAATACTTCGCAAACCTAAATCGTCTTCTTCGCCCCCTTTTTATAGAAGCCATTTCTTCCCCATTATTGTCCTGCTGCTGTGATTCTGATTTCAAACTTCCATTCAGATCGAGATTAAGACAGAGAGAAATATGGGGGTGATTAGGACAACTGAGAGCTTAGAGGCCGAGGCAGAAGAGTTTCGTGAGATGCTCCTGCGGGGCACGGGAACCATGCCGTGGAAGCGAAGCCCCGCCGCCGTTCGCAGAGGATCGGACGGCGACGAATTGGGCTACGACAGCCGCATGGTCTGCGTTACCAGTGCCGTCTCTTTCCTAGGCTTCGCCATCGTCTCCCGCCTCTTTTCCCGTGGTTATCCCGTCCGCCTTGCCCTTGAAAATCAAGGTATGTTTTATCGCCACCGCCGGAACACTCGCATCGATCGTTGAAAAGGGAAAAAATTTAGGTCAAGATATAATGGCTCAATTTCGATTAGAATAATTTTTAAAAGGGGGATTTAGGTAAAATTTTCATGCATTTGTATAATTTAATGTCTAATATTTCTATTTTAATATCTATTAAATTAATATTTAAAATTTAAATTAAATAAAGAATAATAGTTGTATTAATCTTATAATAAATATATCCTTTGATGCATATACATATTTAAGTCACTAAAATATTATATAAATAATATCAAAATAAATAATTTTATATATTAATTCTATTGATTTTTAATTTTTAAAATTACTTTTTATATCAATTTTTAAAGTGTATTTTTTATCTTATTATTTTACCACATATAGCCTTTCTTATTATTTGTATTTGTTAATGTTTTATTCGTTTTATGAAAAATGAAATATTGGATCATCTTTTTAACGAGCTTAACGCACGATCAATGATTTATTATTTTGAATTATTCTTCCGCCGTATATAGATATCAATCTTATATTTGAATTTATCTAAATAAAATTAAAAAACTAATTAACATATTCAGATACAAAATTTAAAACATTCTTTATTTTTAAGTTTTTATTTTCATTTTCTTAACATAAAATGTATGAAGATTTTCAAAAATAATATTTTTAATTAAAAAATAGTACATTAATGTGCACTTTTGAGAGAGAGAGAGTCGCAGATTTCGATCGGCTTCTCTCTCCTAAAATTTGATTTTAATATAGTAAAAGTCGGCCGAAAGATAACATATTTTTTGGTGCTAGTCTTGGAAATTCAAGCCACATTGATTTTTGTTGCAACAAGGCTGAAAATGAACAATGTGTACGGCTCGATTGGTGGATCCCATCGGCTGGATCAATAATTGTTAATGAGCGGTCACATCAATAAATATTATATTGTCTTATTAAAATATGAAAGTTAATATATTGTTCCATTTATAATCTTTTTAAATTTTAATATAATTAAATTACAGAAAAATTCGAGAAAAAATGCATAATAAAATTATTACCATCTTGTTTAAATAAGGCTAAATGTTAATGATAGCATTGAGCTTACCGTTAAAAAGGTAATTCGGTCAATCAAGATAAACTCATACAAATATTATACATTTAAATTCAAAAACTCTTAATTGATAGTCAGAACTCCTAATTGATAGATCAAAATGAACTGAATGGGTGAAATTAGGTTTCGTTTGGATTGGCTTTTTTATTGCTTTCTAAAACGGAGTTTTAAAACAAAATTTTTTAATTTTGTATTAAAACTCCATTTTAGAAAGCAATAAAAAAACCGTCCCAAACGATGCCTTAGTCTCAAAATAAAACCATGAAAGCATTGAATTTTGGCCACAGCATTGACAAACATAGCAATCCTATCAAAAAAGTCCTTTTTTTTAAGAAAAATATTTTATTGTTGGATTCATAAATTAAAATTTAGATTATATTCAATTTCAAAGTGATTGAATACAATTTAAAATGAATTCTAATCAATTAATTAGATTTTTATTATATGCAATTTTGAAATAAATGCAATTATTTTGAAAAAAAAAATAATTAATTTAATCTATACTTTTTAATGTTAAAAATAAGTCTAATAACATAAGAATCCGTAATAATCAAAATTTTCTACCTAAATTTTTTTTTAATTTTAATATTATTTAATTTCTAAGTCAATAATTTATTTTAATAAGATCAATATATAAACAATCATTTAAATTTGTTTTGATTTCATTTTAACATAAATGCAAGGATTATGAAATCATTTTTAAAAAATTTATTGATTCATTTTATATATAACAAGTGAATGAATTATTTAATTTACAAAGATTGCACTGTTTCTTTCTATTAAGTTGTGAAGTTCTTTGTAATCAATAAGATATAACGATTAATTAAAATGATGAATCAACAGAAGATCTGGAAAAGCTGAGGGAGTTGCAGATGTTCGATGAAATGGAGGAGCGTGTTTCGACTATGATAGCAAGCTTTATGGACATTGAGAGTCTCTGTCGAGCATTTGATGGATGCATTGGTGTTTTCCACACCTCCAGCTTCATTGACCCTGGTGGTTTGTCTGGATACAACGTACGTGAGTTATTATATTTTTTGCCCCTTTAATAAACTAGTTAAGATATCTGTTAAATTTTTTTTTTTTTGCATCATTGGTTTATTGTAGTTACATAGCTAATAATTTAAGTGGTTGAAACTACTGTTAACATGTAGTGATTAACGCTTCGTTTGGGATGTGATTCTTACCGCTTCTTAAAGCAATATTTTAGTACAAAAAAATTAATTTTTATACTAAAAAGTTACTTTAAAAAATAGTAATAAAGGCTTCGTTTGGGACGGCTTTTTTATTGCTTTTTTAAAATAAAATTTTAGTACAAAAACTTTTCCGTTTTAAAAAGCAATAAAAAAGCCGTCCCAAACTAAGCCTAAAATTGCTGCTCTTTTAAGGAGAGTTGGAAAAAGCTGAAATACTGTATTTTTTTTTACTGTGCGGCAATTCAATTGATACTAAGGCCTAATTATCTTAGAAATGTTAATAGTTCATTTCAGGGGTGGAATTTCTCAATATATTCATTCAACATTATGACACATTTATATATTCATTAAAAAAAATGAACTAATTAATAATAGATAATAAATAGTGATATTCAACATGAATAAATTTTAACACAAAGAGTATTATCATCTATTAGATTTCATTTGAGATGGCTTTTTTATTGTTTCTTAAACAACTTTTTAGTATAAAAATATTAATTTTTTACTAGAAATTTTTTTTAAGAAGCAGTAAAAAAGCCATCCCAAACGAAGCCTTAGTCTAAGCTTAAAAGGATATATTAATGTAGTGTATCAACATAAATATAAATAAAAATAAATCACTTATCATTTTCGCATGACGAATTTAAGAAACATAAGTTTAACAAATAATATAGTTTAGCGAATGTCACTTAGTAATGGCGATATTTCAACAACTAAGGGATTTCAAAACCTGCAAAATTGTACCAACATGGTAATAATTGTTAAAGTATTTAGCAATAAAAATATTTAAATAAAAAAAGAGCTCAGTATTTATAGACAATGCGTGAACATTTTACTATTGTTGCATATGACATCATGTTCAAAGTTTAACATGTGATTCATGTCAGCATGTAATATTTATGTCGGTTCATTGAACCTCACAACTAATTAAGCTACAGTTATTGTCATTAGATGGAATAGGAGAATTCTGAAAGAAATCTCGGATTACAGTAAACTCCAAACCTTTTGCCAGATTTTCAAAGCTCATCACAATCAAGATCTCTCTCTCATTCTCCTCTAAATTTTCTATGAGAATTACTCTGACACGTATCTAAATAAATAAATAAAAAAGAAAAATAAGAATAAATTTAAATAAAGTAGCAATAATTATATATAGACAAGTTAGGCTAAATATCATTCATTTCTATACAACATCCTCATATGTATTGAAATCATTATTATGTGTTCCATTAATCCTCCATGGCTGCAATTAAATTGTTAGATAGAACAAATCAAAATAAAGATTATTAGTTTATGAATTATAATTCATGAATCATGTAATTAATTTCATAGCATCTTTTGTTGTGTTTGAATAAAGTTTACATCATCCATCATATAAAGGCATGCTTGTTTCTCTTTAACTTTTAGTATTTTTTGTTTCCATCTCTTTTAAGAAGTCATTGATTAAACTTTCCTTTTTTATTTATTTTATAAAAATAGTATTAAAATTAACTAGGATACTAATTTAGTCATAAGTTGGATACTAATTTAGTCATGTGGTTGCATCCCTTGGGTCATCATCTAACACCTATGTATTTGATCCATCCATTCAGGGACAGCCTCCATAATTTCTTCAATTGACCTATTGTCCCATTATTCAACATTCAATCTAAACTTATGACTTATCCATTTAATGCCAAGGGATTAAAAATTTAAATTATTTATGCGCCCATAAAATTATAATTTTATCTAATTAAGTAATAAGAAATAACTAATTATATAAAAAATAATAAAATGTATTATTTTCACATATATTACACAAATCTCTGCTAGCATCCCCTTATTAAATTGCTTCATATTTTGATTACACGAATTTGGGAAGAAGATTCCTGCAAATATGAGATATCTAGCAATCACTCTCATGTATGATCTTAATAGTATGAACTATGGGATACTATAACTCACACCATTTTTATTAACCTTTACTTGGTACTTGCGTGTTTGGTAGAGAAGTTAGAATATTGACACACATAATGTGCTTCCTTTGCCAAATAGGAATGCCCTAATCATTTAAAAATCTATTTATAGAATTGACATAATATGTAAAATTTAAATTTGATTAAAAAGTAAATATTATGTATTGATAAGTCATATTGCTTCTGATGACCTGGTTAGGAGAGTAGATATATTAGATTTGGTCTATGTTAAGAGAGGTGGAGATAGACCTAAAAAGACATGATTAGAAAATATTAGAAATGACCTTTTTTTATTAGTTTTAATTGAGAATTTGACTCTTAATAGAATACAATGGAGAGAAAAGATTCATGTAGTTGACCCCACGTAGTGGGATAAAGGCTTGATGTTGTTCTTGATAAGTCATATTGCATCATCCAGAAATTGGGTTTGTCGAGGAGACTAGAAGTCCCTGAAGTGTCAATAAACTCCACATCCTCTTGAACATCAGTATGTATTGGAGTAGAATAAAATGTTGGATGTTGTATAAGTATTGTCTTTGTTAGATCTTCCTATGAAAATTACCTTCAAGTAGCATGAAAGAAACATAATAAATTTGTAATGCATTAATATTTGCAATTAGTAAATGCAAGAAGTAAAAAAGAAAAAAAAAAGTATGCTCAATATGTTGGGAAGTAAACCAAGAATGAAACAAATAAAAAAGAAAAAAGAAATCAATGAAGCAGACATTAGAATTTAATATGGAAAAACCCGAAAATAGGAAAAATCATGGAGCCACAACATACCAAGAAATCAACTATGGCAAATAGGAAAAATTGTATAGATCTTCACACTCACACTAACTTCTTCACTTCACACTCATGTCCACCATGTCTAGACACCAGTACAAGTTACATACCCTTCAAAATAATATAACTCTTAATAAATAAAGTTAAAATTTACTCAATTGACCCGTTGCGCTGTGGTGTTGACTCCTCTATCTTAAAATGGGTCCATAATGTTGTGGCATTATGCCTATAGCACACAACGATGTGAACACAACACCTTGGCGCTAAGCTCCATCCGAGAGGGGATCCACATAGCCTTGGTGTTGGATTTACAATGTCGTCGCATTGTACAACAACAAAAACTATAACATCAAGCCCTTATCCAATTATGTAGGGTCAGCTATATGATTCATTTTTCTCCATTATCTTCAGTTAAGAATTATATTCTCATTTAAATTTAATTAAAAATGTTATCTCTAAAACTTTCTGACCATGTCTTTTTTAGTTATACTTTTACCTTTCTTAATATAGGCTAAATCTAATACTTTTACTCTCCTAATGAGGTCATCAAATGATCGATGTTTTTATGTGGATGAACCATCTATGGAGACTCTCTCTATCTTATCTATTATTGAAGCATCTCCAATCTTTTGACGTAAATATTAATTCCGTATTCTGTCTCTAAGTGTAAAGTCGCTTGTCCACTTGAGCATGCATCCTCATCTCTGTGATACTTAACTTAATTTTATGCTTCTTTTTTAATGTCCAACATTTTTTTGCCATATCTTATAAAATTTTCCCTAAAGTTTGAGGGATACGTTTCTATCAAACAAAATGATGGATGCATTCCTCCACTTCAATCATCCAACTTGAATTCTAATAATAATATCCTCATCAATTTCACAGTCGCTTTGAACAATAGATCTTATGTATCTAAAATATGTACGCTTGACTTGACCACCCAAAGTCACAATCTCCTAATTAGATCTAATACTATTAATATTATAATCCATATATTCAGTTTTTCTTGTCTGTACAACTGAGATGCTATATTGGCAAGAAAAAAACTATTTTGGGGACTTCACCCTCAAACCCCCGAGCAGGTGGTACGTTGCCTCCCTGCAGCCCCTCAGCGTGTTTGTTGTTGAGCTTGATTTATGAAATTGAAGTTTAGGTCAATTATGCAACCCGATTGATCAACATAATTAGATTCCAGAAATAACTAACACAGTTGATATCAAAGAAAAGAACATAGGCTTGACAACATTATATATTGGTTGAATGGGGGGATGGAAGGCAAGGCTCGGCAAAACGGATGACTAGGGTAAGTGAAGAAGAATTGAATTAGGAGGCTCAACCTATGCTAGCAATAAAAGAATGCAAGATGTTGTTTAAACCACCGCATCGAGATTGCGTTGTTAATAGTGATTATTACGAAAACTATTTTATTACAGTGGTTAAAACTGTTGCTATAATCTTTACCACAGTTATTACTGTTGCTTTCTCATGGTGTTGAAAATTGCGCAAGTGATTTTCACACTATTGTTAGAATATGCTGTCTTACGTATGCTATTTTAGTATTGCATTGATTAAATCTAGTCCGATCATGTTCATGTGGGTGGGATGAACTCTTGTGTTATAGTATGACGAGGGGCAAATGCTGTTTTTATTTAATTAATGATTTGGAAAATACTATTTAAAATTAGTAGTAGATGAAGAATTAAATATTTGGTTGTTGTGGTCTTCGTGGGGGATGAAGTACTAGAAGTGTAGGTCGATATAAATTAAATCACAATAATTGACCTCATTATTTAGTAAGGCTAAAGCATTGCGCTGCTTTTAATAAAGGTCCAAAGCTTACCAACTAAATATTATAAGAGGGTCCATTTACCTACCATTTACTGGAACAAAGGCTTGACCAAATATTTAAAATAGAAACGACTACGTTCATATAATTAACTTATTTATTTTATTTACATATCAAATCATCAAGCATAAATAATTAGCTCTCAAATGCATATATTTGTGTATCAGATATAGAATCAAATAATAATATGTTATTATTATTATCTTTTTTTTTTTCTAAGAATATATAATTTCTCTTCAAACATCAAAATTGAGAAAGCTTTTCCATCACCGGAAAAAATTTGGCATCATGAAATCACACTAGCAGATCACTGCATGAAATACTTTACATATTCTACCATGTGGCTAAATATTTTGAAAGCAAAAAAGAAATTGAGAGAACCTCCAGGTCGCTAAATTACTCATCACACAACCGCTTTATGCTTTCCTTGAAGTCATTTGTTGATAGCATTGAAGTGGGCCAAGTTATTGTATCTTTTACAACTCCATCTTTTCTTTCTTTTGCTCTTTTTGACCTTAATAAAAAAAATTAAATACATGTCAGCACAGCCTTATTATATGTTCATTAAAGTACAACTATTCTTTATTTTATTTGAGTGATTTATATATTATACTAGTTTCATTAGCTGATCTTGCAGATCTCTCTATACAACCTTTCAATTTATTGCAATGTAATTGAACTTAGATTATTGACCTTATATATATATATATATATATACTCGTTTAAATCTAATAAAGAAAGATCATTTCTAATATTTTCTAAACAAGACTTTTTAGGTCTACCTCTATCTTTTTTAACATAAGTCAAATCTAATACCTTTACTTTCCTAATCGGGTCATCAGAAGGCCATTATTTTATGTGACCAAACCATCTAAGGCGACTCTCTCTAATCTTATCTTCCACTAGAGCTACTCCAACCTTTTCACGTATATACTCATTTCGTATCCTATCTTTAAGGGTAAAGCCACTCATCCATTTGAGCATCCTCATCTCTGCAACACTTAACTTAGTATTATGCTTCTCTTTTAATGGCCATCAGTCGGCACCATAAAGCATTGCAGATCTCACCACCATCTTATAGAATTTTCCTTTAAGTTTGAGTGGGACTTTTCTATCATACAAGAAGTCTGATGCATTCCTTCACTTCAAACATCCAACTTGAATTATGTTGATAATATCCCCATCTATTTCAACATTACTCTGAACAATAGATCTCAAATATCTAAAATGTGTACTCTTATTAATGACTTGATCGCCCAAAGTCACGATCGCCTCATTAGGTCTATTACTACTAAAATTACACTCCACATATTCAGTTTTAGATATACTCAAGTGAAAACCTTTAGACTCTAAGGTTGACCTCCATAATTCAAGTTTACCTTCAACATATATATATATATATATATATATATGATATTTTATATTTTTTTAAATAATAAAAAATCTATTATAGAAATTTTATTGTTAGAGATGCTTATCACCCAATCAATGCTTCCATATTAAAATTAATGGTTTTATGTTAAAAAAATTGCACTACTATATTCTCAGACATTTTATATGAAATTTAAACGATAGAATAATAATATGTAGACAGTAATAATACGTGAAGTTAGAACTGTTTTATCTATCTGCTAAGGATATTTTAAATCAATTTTGAACAAGGGCATTATAATAACTCCGCATTCCCTCCTAATTTTAACGATTTCTCCAAACTTTTACGGTTTCTCCCTCAAATATCATTTTGCAGAAACACATGGCAGAGCTTGAAGCCAGAGCTGCAGAGCGAGTGATAGAAGCCTGTGTGAGGACTCCAAGTGTTAGGAAATGCGTATTCACATCATCATTGTTAGCCTGCGTTTGGAGGCAGAGTTCACCTCTTAATCAACAGCTCACCAGGTTCATCATCGACGAGAATTGCTGGAGTGATGAAGGACTTTGTAGGGACAAGAAGGTGTCTAACTACTTATCATATCTCATTATCATCTGTTAATATCTGCATTTTTGATGCATTGTTTTTGAACTTTAACGTGTTAGCTTTATGATTTCTCAGTTTCTAAAATAGGCTCTCCACATGTGAAGCCACTAGAATTTTTTGATAGAATTCCATTTTGCGTAGAATGAGTTAATTGTTAGAAATTTTTTCTGTGAAAATCTGAATTGATACTAAGGGACAAACCCATTTATCTATGAAAATCTAAAAGAATAGATTTAGGCTTCGTTTGGACAGTTCTTTTGATGCTTTCTTAAGCATCTTTCTAATACAAAAATTTCTACCTCAACAACTTTTTGAACTAAAAAATTTCTTTAGAAAGAAGTAAGAAAACCATCCCAAACAAAGCCTTACTCTCCTATTAAGTTCAAATTTATTTTTGTTATATGCTTTCTAAGACAATTTGGGCATGTTGTTGCGTCCTTTGAGTTAATCGCCTCGCACTATCCAATTAGTAGGCACAATATCACATTTAGCAAAGTGTTAACGTCCATAAAGGTATATTTAATTAATCCTTAAAAATCGCTAGAATTTAACTAAATATAGTTACCAAATATTTCTGTGTGAAATGATTGGCAAATGTACGTATGATACCAATTCGTCTATATTTTTTTGTGGAATGTAGCTATGGTTTGCACTGAGCAAGCTGATGGCAGAGAAGGCAGCTTGGAGAGCAGCTCGAGGAAGGAATCTAAAAATTGTAACTGTATGCCCAGCTCTTCTGACTGGCCCTGGCTTTCGCCGTCGGAACTCCACAGCATCCATTGCTTACCTCAAAGGTAAATGCTTTTCTGCTTAACCACAAGCAACCTATTGCATATTGCTTCCATAAACTGAGCTGCAACTACAATTTTCAGGAGCGCAAGAGTTATTCACAGATGGAATGTTGGCGACTGTGGATGTCAACAAGGCTGCACAAGCCCATGTGTGTGTCTATGAGGCCATGGGTAGCGGCGCAGCTTGCGGCAGGTACTTGTGCTTTGATCATGTCATTCAGAGAGTTGAAGAAGTCGTCGAGCTGGAACGCCAGCTCGGGATACCAAGCAGGATATCTTTGGGCACAAATGATGTTGGAGCAGATCATCCGAGTTGGTTTGAGCTTAGTAAAGGGAAGCTGTCAAGGTTAATGTCTTCAATGAGAAGGTGCACATATGATAATTATGTTTTCTGAATTGTGATCTAAGGTGAACCAGTGAGTACTTTTGATATGATTCATCTGTTTTTCATTCCATTAAATGTTTGAGTATAATGCCTATCATGTTGAAGGGGAATTATGCGCAAGAGAAGATGGAGTGTTAGGCAGTTTGTACAAAGTTTACATATTTGTTAATGCAATAAGAGGTTTAATTTGGGACATGAAATTGCATATATTTTTTTTTAATTTCAAACAGTATGTTTGGTATTAATTAAATATTATGCATGGATCATATGATGAGGTAGATATCAAAATTCTTATTTAAAGGCTTGAAAATGAGTTATGTGATTCACTATGTTGATATTTATATCAAGTTTATTGTGTGAAAGCTTATAAATGTGTCTGTATAAGTTGATGAATGGATGCTTAATCGGCACGGAAGTATAATTTTTTTTTAATTTTTTATTTGTCTAGAAAAATGACACAATGGAGAAAAAGGATTCATGTAGCCGACCCCACGTAGTGGGATAAAGGCTTGATGTTGTTGTTGTTTTATTTGTCTAGAAATGAGAAGAGAGAGGAGTAGAGCCAAGAAAGAAACATGGCATTTGTTTCCATGAGTTTGAAATTTTATCTTGATGAATTGAAGGTACCTTTTTAAGGAACTTCTTAAGTGTGTAATTATCTGATATTTATTTAATCTTCTATTTTTGTCAACCCCATTAAGTTATTCTCTATTTTTTGTTGAACAAGGTTGTACACTAGTTTTGAGAAAGCCTAGTGTTTGTTCTCACATTAGACACCAAGACTGCTATTTCATTGTTAGTGGAGTTTTCTCTCGTCTTCCTTGAATGTAACCCTATTAAAGGGTGGACTGCATATTTTAATATTTTTTTGTTTTGGTGTATGATCTCCTTCATAAATGTTTTATAATTCATCATACTTTCTTTTGGGTTGATATTTCCTTGTCATAAAGTTAGGCATAATCTTTTTTTTTTAAACACTAATATCAAATAACGGCTTATGAGGAATATGATGGCCATGAAGTTTGAGTTCGAGAATTTCATGGATAAAGAGTTTTTAATTGTATCATAGTAAAATGGAAACTTTTAAATGTACTCATGGGGTATAGCAAGATGCCTAAAATTGTGATTTATGCTAAAAACCAAGAAGATAGTGGAATGTAGTCTATTCATCATATTTCTAAGCTCATCTTTCAATGAGGTTTAGACAAAAAGAAAGGCTTAAATAGTGATGCAACATATCATCAAGATTTGTGTGGGCCATATTTTAAAAATAGAGAAGAGAATAATGAAGTTAAAACTAAGCAACACAAGGCCGACAATGACCATTCACTAGATCTCATGCCAAATCCTTAGATAATTCAAGAAAGAAGTATGTTTCCTATTAGCCCACCAAAGCCCATTTGGTGTTTAAATTTAAATCATGATTTTTTTCCTAGGAAAGCTCCAATTTTTGAAAATCTAAGTTGTGAATATTCTATTTATGTATTGCATGGCAAGTGGAGGATTTTCCCTTTAGATGTTATGGTTATAGATGGAATGTTATAGCAATTTATTGCATCCAATTCATAAGACGGTCCCCTCCTTTTCCCTCTTCTATTTTTGGTTGTTTTTATTTTTGGTGATATTTGTAACATGCTATAGAAAGCCCTCTTTCTAGACTGAATTGATTTTTGGAAAACTAAAAATATTTGTGTTTACTTATTTGATTTGAGAGCTTGATAGCTATGTTCTTAGCACTTCTTGTGGCATTGCTTGTTATTCAACACTGTTTCAATTCTTCCTCTTCTAACATCTAAGATTATTTCTTTGTCTCTTCTCCACACTTTTTTATATCCATTCCAACCATCAGTTCAACAACCAACTTGCCTTCACAAGCATCTACCATTAACTAACCATTAACCTTTAGACTACACTAGAGAAGTCCAACCATCAAACCATTGTATCCCTTACACACCAACTTTAGATACATTGTCCAACATCCCATCTAATTCATAGTAAGTTTATTCCCCCATCTAAAAACTCATTAACCACTCACCAAAAAAAAAAAAAAAAACTTAAGACAATCTAGTGCTCAACTACCCCTTATCACCTTTGAATAAGTTTGGGAATAACAACCTTTAGACCCATGATGCATTCAAATCCATTTACCCCAAACTCTTGAACTAATCCTTATACCTGAACCTACCACTCCACAAGTCATTTCTACCCTTAATTGGCCACTATTATGAGGTCAATTCCAAACTCAAAACTTACCCCCCTCCCATAAGAATACTCTAGCATGATAGAAACCAAAGTTGAAGACTTTAAAATTTGATTTAGCTAATTGCATAGTGACCTATCACCTGATCCTTAGAACCTCTCTAGGGAGTTTTGGAGGTATCCATACCATTCCAATCCTCAAACCTAAGTGCACCCAAAGGTGTTTTCTTGAGCCAATCTCAAACTTAGACTCAACTAGCCTGATCCAAAGCACTGGTTGCCTGACCATAAACCCCCTAGACTTTCCCTAGCCTTTCCAACCCTTGGGGTAACCTGGGTTAGCAAAAACGACAAACCTAAGTTCACCAAAAGGGATTTCATTAGACAATTTGGCTACTCATACCGAATTAGGCTAAACCAACCCATTCAATATCTTCCCCTGAACCCCAAGAACTGGCCCATCCTAGTCTAACCTATGGCTTGGACTGAGGTGGTTAGAATCTTCTAAAAATTGACCAATAAACCCTTAGTTCAACCTTAACTACCTATCCAGCTCATCCCATATGGTATGCCATCTCTATAAGACTATCAACATCCTATTGGACCATCCAACACTAGCTTAACACCTAATTATAATGAGCTTTGTTCGAAATCCTTGCTAGATTTAGTTCAAAACACTCTTTAAATACTCTCAAATTTGCTAATAATAAGTTCACAATTTTTATTCCCTCAGTGCTTCCCCAGCTTTCCCAAATCCTCTAGCAGCCTACAAAATCAATATAGAGCTAGCACTAATAAGCACCTTCCATAAACTTTCTAAAATTTGATCCATTAACCTTCAGCTCTTATTATTTGAAGACAAATTACTTCCTAGATCCAGAAGATCGTGTCTAATTAAAAGCCCTATCAAACCACGATTGTTTTGAGGTAATTCTCTATCTTGAGCTTAATTTGTGAGGGCGCGATGTGTGTGTGTGGGGGTGATACGTTTTGAAGAAAACCTTTAATCCATGGTAATTCAACCATTGGATTGAAGGTTTTCTATTTATAGATCCTATTGGATCCACTTGGGAGAGTTCTATCTAATGAATTGCATATTTGAATAAAAAAATTATGGACGGCTCATGTTGAAAACTGGAGGTTGAAAATGAAATCATCGGCCCTGATTTCAACGGATCAAAGTTAATCCAATGAGTCCCATGATTTTGGGCTTTTCCTCACAACTATTTGATTTTAGATCAAATTGTTGTGATGAATGCCACTATGTTTGAGGTGCATTCTATGGTTTAAGTGATCAATCAGCATGCTGACTATGTAAACATTTAAATTAAATGCAATTTTATAGACATAACTTCAAAAGTTAATATCTCACTGAATGTTGATCCAAATTTGGCAGATAAAATCCTCTATGGATTTAGTATTCAATTGACTATTTAATGGATCCAAAATCAAAGCTAAAGTGTGGGTAGGTTATGAGAATTTAATCAAATAGTGGATTGATTGTTTTGTATACTTATATGCTTAATCAATGTATATTGAGTTCAAATTTGGCTTAATTATAATTTAGGTTGTGTGCAATGACCCTGAATTTCTCATGGCAAATTGAGCTTAGCTCTAGCTTGATTTGAATTTTCAAATCGCTAGGTCATTTTTTGACCTAAGGATTTGAAATTCCATAAAAATTAAATGGACTTTTTGTATATTGTAAACATGGTATTGGTGGTTAGTTAGCTAGCTAGTGATTTTATACAAGATCTTGGTTTAGTTTTCCCTGAATAAATTTTCAAAGATATACATGTATTTACATTTTAAAATTTTTAATAAAAGACAGGGATGTCTAAATGGATTCAAATTTATATGAAATTCTCCTTAGTTAGTATAGACTCAAGGTTTAAAATTTCATAGCCATTGGAGTTCAATTAATTTGTCAATTAGTCAATTTTAATTCTATTAATATAGTTGTCCTTCAAAAGTAAAATAATTATAAAAATAAATTAAAGTAAAATAAATGTAAATAATTTAAAGTATTCTTAAAATCATAAATGCAATCATGAAAATATAAAAGCTCTATCTAAAAACCTTAAAATAAATAAATAAAATCATAAAAAATTTAATATAATTCCAAATGCTTTCAAACTTACATAGATCTCATAGTAAGTCATTCCTGATCTATTTTGATGATCTCATGAAAATTGGAGGTCATTAGGTGCAAAAAATAAGAAAATGCCCAAATGTCTTAATAGATAAATCATTAATAAAGGGTATATTTAAAAATTCATACATCACAAATAAAAATCTTAAAAATACAAACTCAATTGCATTGAATTCCCAATAAATATTATAATTTAATAAGAATAATAAATATTAAAAAATTAGCTAAATTAAAAATCAAACTTGGGTTAAACCTTTAATTAATGGATAAATAAATAATAAACAAATAAATATATAATAAAAGATAAATGAAATAAAAAAAAAAGAAATAAATTAAAATTAAATCATAATTCATTAAATAAGTTTATTAAAATAGAATTAAATAAATAAACTTTAAAATAATAAATAAATAAATAAAATTCATTAAATGTTTAAACAGAGTGATAAATTAAATAAACAATTTAATTGATTTAATTCAAATAAATCAAAGTGATAAATCGAATTCCAAACAATCTATTTAATATGCTATTCTAAATGAATTAAATTAAATAAAAAAATATTAAATAAATAATAAATAAATTCGATGGTTTATGTATTTGCTTTATTCTTTAGAATGAATTAAATGATTTCATCTTAAAAGGATAGAACTTATTGGTTAATGGCTTCAATGTATATTGGAGTTATTGATTAACATGGTTCTTTTATACTTAAAGAAAATAACTTGAACAAATAAAATATTTTAACAAAAGATAAATCATTAAAACTTAAATTAAATCCTTTGGTCTGCAACATATGAATTCAATTTTTAGATAAATCATTTAGAATAAATCTAAACCATACAGCTT